CAAGCCACTGCCACACCTTAAATCCTTAGCTTCTCAGCAGACAAGAGAGAACATTCCTGTTTCTCCCTGCTTATATCCTGTTTCCACCCAGCTATCTCATTTCCTGTCTGTCTGTTGCTAGTGTGGTAACTCCCCAAATTAATGTAGGTACCTAGTGCTATGAAATTGCCTTTTAGAACCACCTTCACTTTGTTCCGTATTTTAAATTATTTTCATTTTAAGTGAGTTCTAGGAAGTTTTAAATTTTCATCTTGATTTTGTCTTGGCAAATTTTTCATTCAGTAGTTGAGTTCAGTTTCTGTAATTGTATATGCTTTCTGTTGTTGATAGCAGCTTTACCCTGGTGGTCAAATAGGATTCAAGGTGTTATTTCAATTTTCTTGTATCTGTTGAGGCTTGCTTTCTGTAAAACTATGTGGTCACTGTTGGAGAAAGTTCCATGAGCTCCTGAAAAGAAGGTATTCTTTTGTGTTTCATTGAAATGTTGTATGAGTATCTGTTAGGCCCATTGCCTTATGGTGTCATGTAGCTTCAGCATGTCTCTGTTTAATTTTTTGTCTGGATGAACTGTTTGTCGGGTAGAGTGGGATACTGAAGAAATCCATTGTCACAATTTGAATGCCATTGTGTGGTTTTAGCATTTCTTTCTGAACTTGGGGTTGGTGCATAGATGTTTAGAATTGCAATATCATCTTGATGGATTTCCTTTAATGAAAATGTAGTGCCCTGCTGTATTTGTTCTAATGAGTTTGCTTTGAGTTCTGTTTTGTCAGATATTAAAAGTGATCCCACCTGCTTTATTCTTGAATCAATTTCCTTGAAATGTCTTTTTCCATTCTTTTACCCTGGGGTGATTTCTATCTTTGATGGTTAGGTGTGATTCTTGGATGCCCCGAAAAGATTGATCCTGTTTTCTAATTTGTTTAGTTAGTCTGTGTTTTTATTGGGGAATTGAGATCATTGATGTTGAGAATCATCTCTGAGCACTGTTTCCTGTTACTTTGTTGTTATGGGTGGATTTTCTACCTCATTTGATTTGATAGTCTGGAATTGTTCCTTACATCTTTTGAGTGTTTTCAACTTCTTCAGATTTAAGTTTTCCTTTTAGTACCATTTGTATAGTTGAAGAGATAGATAGATAGATAGATAGATAGATAGATAGATAGATAGATAGAGATAGCAGGCAGGCAGGCTTAAATTTGATTTAATCCTAGAATGTTTTTCACTTAATATCTACTTTTATTGATAGTTCTGCTAAGTATAGATAGTAGCCTGTTTAGGCATCAGTGTTCTCTCAGAATGTGTAGAATCTCTCTCTGGCTTTTAGCATATCTTTGAGAGGTCAGATGTTATTATAATTAGCCTGTTTTTAATATATGATTTTTGTCTTTTTCTCTTTCATCTTTTAATATTCTTTGTTCTGTGCATTTAGTGCTTTGATTATTAAATGGTACAAGGAATTTCTTTTCTGGTCTAGTCTATTTGTCGTTCTATATTCTTCTACCTTGGAAGTCACCTTCATATGTTAGAGAAATGTTCTTCTATGATGTTAGTGAAAATATTTTCTGTGCCTTTGACTTGGGTTTCCTATTCATCCTCTCTCTCTATTACTTGTAGTGTTCCAGATTTCCTCAGTGTTTTATATCCAAGTCTTTTTTAGGGTTAATTTTTTCTTTAACTGAGATATCCACATCTTTTGCCTTATTTCAACACTTGAGATTCTCTCTTAAATTTTGTCTTGTATCCTATTGATGATGCTTACCTCCAACATTTTTGCTTGGCATTCTTAATTTTCATTTCCAGTTTTATTTCAGTTTGGGTTTTCTTTATAAATTTATTTCTTTGTTAAATTCTATTTTTGTGTCTTGAATTGTTTTCATTATTTCATTCATGTGTTTGTGTTTTCATGGTCTTTATTTGATCTGTTTATATTCTCTTTAATGTCCTTGAACATACTCATAATGCTATTCTGAATTCCTGTCTTTCACCTGCTTTGCATTTCTCAGGGCCTACTATAGTAGGATTTCTGGGTTCAAGTGGAGGCATATTGTCTTTGCTGTTCATATTTGTATGTTTGCTTGGGTCTAGATACCTGAGTTATGATGATAAGCAAATGTTGATACTTGGTCTTCTCTTCATTGGGTTACTGTTCTTTCTGTTCTTTGGTTGTGTCATACTCTCAAGATTTTAGGCAATTATAGATCTGGGGTTCCTGCTAGAGAGTGTTTCTGTTAGGTCAGTGGATAGCAGAGAGAATCTGGTCTACACCAAGAGGTGGCTCCCCAAGTAGTGGAGGGGTAGTGGGAGGAGGTAGTACTGAAAGTAAGCTGCTGCAGGACAGAAATATGCATGGAGAAATTAGCATAAAAAATGTAATGAGACCCTGGGTCTGTACCAAGAGATTACATCTCCATTGAGTTGGGGTGTGAGGAAGGGCACCTCCAGACAGGGTGCTAAAGGACTGCAGGTGAGACCAAAGAGATCATAATAAAGGACAGGAAAGATAGTGAAAACCATCTGAGTCCCAATCCTGTATGGCAACTTGGGTTTTCTGATGGAAAGTATTTGGCTGAGAGTATCCACAAGAAAGAGCTAAGCAATTTCTAAGCCAAGAGGTGGAATCCCAGGGAATGGAGATAGGCTACCTACAAGCAGGTACCCATAAACAGGCTGCTGCAGAGCTGAGGGTGAGCTGCATTTTGTTTTATCCTAAGCATTGTATGTAGAAGCCAGTAAATATTATTTCCCCTTGTGTGTGTGTGTGTGTGTGTGTGTGTGTGTGTGTGTGTGTGTATGCATGTGTGTGTCTGTCAGAGAGAAAGAATATCTCTGTTTAGCTGTTGGGCTGGGTGTTTTTTCTTTTCTTTTTTTTTTTTTTGGTGCTGTATATAATAAACTTCAGCATATCACTTAGATTTATAGCAATAGACTCCAATTTCTTTTGGGGTTTTTTTTGTTTGTTTGTTTGTTTATTTGGTTTTATTTTTGGTTTTTTGTTTTGTTTTGTTTTTGTTTTTTGTGACACCTTGGTGCAGTGAGGTCTTTTAAATGTTCTTACTTTACCTTTGCCTCTAAGCAATCACTTGGACAAACCACATTATAGAAAGACTCCCATCATGCTTTTCTTCTATGTTATTACCCCTTTGTAAGTCACAGTTCTGGACAGATAGATTCTTCATTGTGCTAGATAGGCTTCAGTGTTAAGCATTGTCTAAATTGCTAACTCCTGTTATTGGAACCTTCCCAAAGCATTTATGTATTGAGTATCATCCTCCTTCTATTGCTCACATGAGAGTCAAATTCCATCTTCTGTCAGTGGCAGTAGAAACTTTCTGTGTCCCCTGAAATATTCATCTGTGTATCTCACAATGATGTGAAATAATGAACATAGTGACTTTGGTTCCTCCTAGCTTCTCTTTGGTTTTAAAAAACAATGGCTCTTTTATCAGGATGCACAGCAGTGGGGTTCCTACCAATTCTGTAGAGACAAGTAGATTTTCCTTCTACTCTTCATAGAAACACAACTTATTTTTCCCCTCTATCTAAAGGTAGAAGCTTTATCATTCTCCAGTAGTGTAGATGTATTTGCTTTGTATATGAAAAAAAATTAGATTTTTGTGCCTTTATTTCAGTGGCAGTCAGTAATCACTGGCCAACCACATCTGTCTAGGAAGTTTCTCTTCTATCCTAACTTACCCTGTAGAATGAAAAATAAAAATGTAGAGACAGATATTGGGGTTCAAGCTGAAGATTAGAGAAACAACAAAGTCAGACAGTAGTTCTTACCTCTACCAGTGTTGAAATGGAGATCCTGTCTTCACATGAGACCCTTTGCTTCTTCCTTATACCTCTCTAATGCTGGGATTAAAAGTGTAAACTCTGTTTCTCTTTTAGACTGATTCACTCTTATGTAGCCCTGGGTGGCCTTGAACTCACAGAGATCCATCTGCCTCTGTCTCCTGAGTCCTGGGATTAAAGGTGTGTGCCACCACTGCCCAGCTTCCATAGCTAACTAATGTGGCTGACTTTGCATTCTGATCTCCAGTGGCTTTATTAGATCCTAAACAGTATATCACCATATTACCCCTTTATCTGTGACTCAGACTATATAAATGTAAATGAGACTCCATATTATACTATCTAATCTATGTCATTAAATTTCTTTAAAACTTACCTCATTATGTTTTCTTCTGTCCATTTTCCTCCTTTTATTCTGCAAAAGTGAAATAGTTTCTGTTATTCAAGAAAAGTTGTGATTCTATAGATTTTTTTTTTCTTGCTTTCTAGACCCTAAATAGAAGCCAAAACAGTAATTCATATTTGAATGAGTTTCTCTGTTAGGAATCCTTAAAGTAAAACTGTTTCTTAATAGAAGTCTAAGCTTCTCTTTTCTTTCTGTTTTCTCTGTTTTCATTTTTGTTTGGTTTTCGTTTTGTTTTGTGAGAAAGGATCTCACTTATATTTCAGATTGGCTTAGAATATATTCATTTATTTCACCCCAGGTGAGTGCAAATTTAAGCTCCTTCTGCCTTGGTTCTCCAAATCTGTGACTCTAGTTGTGTGCCGTCAAGCCTAGCCAATGACAGCTTTTTAGTTGGGTCTTGGCAGCTAGCTTTGTCTATTCATTCATTTACTGTGGTTCAAGGTGATTTCCTTGGGGGTGTATTTTGTGTTCCAGGGTAGCTATTTCCCTGAATATTTTTCATTGTTATTTTTGCTTATTGATGTGACTTGACCTTGTTAATTGCTTCAATATTCATGGTTCATAAAAACATTCCCATATTTAAAAAAAAACAGAAAGAATACTAGAATTCTTAAACATTTGTTCTAGGCATATTAGGTTTTAAGAAATTACTGCAATTGTTAACTTTCCATAGTTCCTCAGGGACCCAAGGAAATGACCTCTTTCCAAAAAGTTTATTCCTGTCCCTAAGGTAGTTGACTGAATGAACTCAATTTTTCTAATGCTTTTTTCCCCCATCATCTATATTTTTATTTAGAGTTTTGGAGGCTGGAAAGGCAAATGTCATTTTACCAAAAAGTTCTCCAAGTGGGATAACTCATGTGATTGCCAGTAATGCAAGAATCAGCGCTGAGCGAGAACAAGAGAACTTTAAGGCTCCATTTTATCCAATTCAGTATTTAGGGGATTTTCTTTTAGAGGTAAGTAAAATAAATATTAGACATTTTAAACATTTGTTTTTATAAAGTGTTGATGGAGTGAAATGAAGTCATTCCTATGTCAGTCCCAGAAAATAGGTTATAGGCACCTCTTTGGATACCAGAGTTGACAGATGCTTAGCTTTCAAACCCCTTATGTAACATAACATAGGGCCTCTGTGTTGAGAGATTACTGTCCTTTTGGAAAAGTCTTAGAAAAAGTTTCCTGTATGTGTTCATAAGATTTACAGATAGGAGAAGGTACTTTAGAATGCTTAAACTTCTTTGGACTGTCAATTTAAGGAAACTAAGAGATCTGGGGAGATGGCCCCATGGGCAATTTGTGAGGACCTGAGTTCAGATCTCTAGAACCCAGTATAGCCTAACGTGGTAGCACACATCTATGAATCCAGGCTTCTGTGGTAAGATGGGTGATTAAGACAAGACTATCCCTGGAAGCTCATGGACCAGCTAGCCTAGCATATACAGGAGTGAATAGTAAGAGATCCTGTCTAAACAAGGTGGAAGGTGAAGGTGACACCTAAACGTATCCTCTACAATCTCTACAAATGACACCTGAGGTTACACAGGCATGAACGCTCACAAGATGTCGTATACACAGGCATGCATGCTTACACACTTCATATACATGGGCATGCATGCTCACATATGTCATATATAGACATGCATGTTCACACATGTCATATACACACTGGAATTTTCTTAAAAGAAGGGAATTAAAATGAATTTCAGGAAACTTACAAAAATCAGAATAGCAGGGGAAACAAAAAGACTTTCTAAGTTAAATCAGCTCCCACTGTACTGAGATACTGTCTGGCTTGAACTTGCATAGATCTTATACACAATTGTAAGTGTGTGTGTGTGTGTGTTGTGTGTGTTTGTATGTAGGTAAGAGATCATCTTCAGATGTCCCTCAGGAAGCCACACTTATGCATGACTCATGGAATTTGGATCTCACTAGGGACATGGGGGGAAAGAAGAAATAGTGGACAGATGAACACAGAATACCTGGGTATTGGGTGGTCTGGGCTTTCAGGTGAAGGAGTCACAGTACCCCTGAAGCTTAGCATGTTTATTATATATATTTCAATAGTGACGTGGGGTTTTGCATACTGCTGAACAGGGAGATAGAGTTATTGCATATAGATAAGCAAAAAGGCAAGTTTATAGTTTATAGATTGATCAAGGAGGCAGGTTTAGCTAAACTCTGTAGGACTACTCTGTAGGAGAGCAGTCTTCAGGCTATAAATCTGGAAGGGGAAGTCTGTACACACTTTCCCCATTTGTATTTGGTTCCCAGAGGAAGCCTTCCCATCCCTGAGCCTAAAGGTTCTTGAAAGGGTTATGTTCATATCAACAGCACACATTTTCACTCAGGTTTTCACTCATTCTGGGCTTTCTCCACTCTACATTAGGAAACATCTACTTTACTTACTGGAGAGAGGGTTTCTTTCTGGGTTCTGGGAATAGCTGATTAGGTTAAGCTGGCTAACTAGCAAACCCTGTAGATCAGCCTGCCTTTGTCTCACCAGTGCTGGGATGTTAGACATATGCCACCACTGCACTGGCTAGTTTTATATCAGCTTGACATAAACTAGAGTTATCTGATGGTAGGGAGCCTCAATAGAGAAAATGCCTCCATAAGATTCATTTGTAGGGCAGTTCTTATTTAGTGATTGGAGTAGGGCCCAGTTCATTGTGGGGTCAGTAAGCAGCACCCCTCCATGGCCTCTGCATCAGTTCCTGCCTCCGTGTTCCTGCCCTGCTTGAGTTCCTGCCTTCACTGTGTTTGATGATGAACTGTTTTATATGGAACTGTGAGTGAAATAAACTCCTGTCCTCTGTGTCCTCTCCAAGTTGCTTTTCATCATGGTGTTTCATCAGAGCGATAGTAAATCTAAGACAAATTGTTACCAGGATGATGGGGTATTTCTGTGACAGACCTGACCATGCGGTTTTATGAGGATTGTGGAAGGACTTTGGAACTTGGGGCTAAAAAACCCATTGAGTGTTGAACACAGTGAGCTTAGAAGATAAGAATATTGAGAGCAGTGTAGATAATGGAGTCCTGGATTGTAAAGTTTCAGAGGGAACCAAAGACCCTACCAGGTTTTTTACTTGAAGAATATATGGTGCCTGATCATGTGGAGATGAAGATTGGGCTGCGATTCGCAAGGAACTTGAACCACTAAAGAAAACCTTTGCTTTATTGAGAAAATGGATGCTGGGCAGCTGGGGCTGAAGAATCAGCCATGATTAAGAGACCAGCATCATTGAGATGAAGTCTTCCAGGAAATGTTTTCCTCAGAGTCACACACAACCTGTCCAGAGGCAGCCAAGGTCTTACCTCCTGCTCGTGGCTGAACTAAGTAGTGTAAGAGTCTCCCAGGTAGTAGTGGTTTTGAAGGCATAAAGGGGTCATGGAGAGTAACTATGTGGCATGGCCCAGGTCCCTGGAGAGAGCCCAGGCGAGGCTGTTGGGAAGGTGAAGAAGCCCAGTTGCAGCCCAGCAGCCCAGCATTTTGGAGATGCAGCAGCACTGGAGTGGAGGCAGCACACCATGCCTGGCCCTTGCTGTATAATGAAACATTGTTTCAATTTAAGTTTTTTTTTTTTTTTTTTTTATGCATGAGTGTCTAATTCTCCAGTCCTTAATTTAGAGTATTTGTGTCATACAACCTAGTGTGTAGATGTCTTCTTGTGTAGATCCTGAGAGGGATAAAACAGTAGACATTCTGTTTCTGGTCTTCTTCCTAGTGATAATAGGTTTTCCTTTGCATTGTCTTTAACTGAAATCTTTGTGGAATTAGACCTGATGTTAACCACTTATTTATCCAAGCCTTGTTATTTGTCTTCTTTAAACCATTCGAGGTTAAAAACTATAGACAAGTTTTTGTCCCACCAGGTCTTGCAGCCCTTTAGTGCTTATATACACTGGCCAATGGTTCAGGCTTCTTATTGGCTAGCTCTCTCTCTTGATTGATTATTAGCCCATTTCTATTAATCAGTGTATCTTCACATGGTCTTAGCTTACCGGAGATGCCCAGGTGTCCTACCTTCCCAGTAGCTATATGGCATCTCCCTGGAGACTCCGCCTACTGCCTTTCTCTCTCCCTTAGCTACACCCTGCCTGTCCATTGGCCAAAACAGTTTTATTCATCAACCCATAAGAGAAACATATTCACAGCATGCAGAATGACAAACTGTTTTCTTGTTGCAAATTCTTCACATAGAAATTGTGTCTTATTTAAGGTGATTCTTTAAAAGGGGGAAAGAGACTGTTCTTCCTCTTCTAAATTTTCACCTTCTCTGAGCTGATGAAGAAATTTGGTTACTTGCTCTTAACTGCTATTCTGGGGCTACAAAATTGCAGTCTGTTGAAGGGGTGGGGGGAATTCTTGCCTACAGAAGGAGCCCCCACAAGTAAGGGAACCAGTGTGGCAGACAGTTTAGATTCCATCATAATTGTTGCCTAAGATGTTGAGTCTTCTACTGTTGCTGTGCAAATGTGAATCTGTGGACACTTCACAAAGAGATCTTGGGAACCATCATAAGCTCACCTTTGCTTTTAGCTTGTTACCTCACTACTGAGTTATGTGTATAATTACATGGATTTTTTTAAAGACTTAGAACATGGTTTATGAACTCAATTCAGATTTTTTTTCCAAGATACTTTGTAAGCACTAACAGAAGGTTGAGGTGGTCCTCTTTGTGCTGTTCTGTAAGACAGATGCTGAATTATCTTGCAAATAAAATATCTTATCAATGAAAGACTGAGAGAGTAAACAATCTTTCCACAATTTGACAATTTTTAAAGTCTAGATTGGAGCTTGCATGTAGGTATGTATAGGCGTACCTAGGCCCACTTTCGAATGTAGAGGCCACCTTGCAGGGAGGGTAGCTGTTAGCCTTGGATATCATCTCTTGAGAACAATCCTCCTTTTTTAGTTGTTTATTTTGTGGGGGTGTTTTTATTTTCATTTTCTACTTTTCCTCTCTTTGATTTTTGTTTCTTGAGACAGGGTTTCTGGAGCTTACCATGTTAACTATGCCACCTGGCCAGTAGGCTCTAGGGATCTACCCATCTCTACCTTCCAAGTGTTGGATTCTGAGTGTGTGTTAGCAAACAAGGCTGTATTATTTGTCTGGATTGTAGAGATTGAACACAGGCCATGATGCTTAGATGGCAAACAAGTTCCTGGCTGAGCTCTCACCAGCCCTGAATTGTAACTTTACTTTGCATAGGCCTGTATAAAATGTTTTTGTCCTAGATAATTCACAGATAGGGTTGTTACTAGACAAGGCAGTTTGACCATAAATGGATAACTTTTAATATCTGAGTTGCAATCTTAATGTTTATAAGGTTATATAGAATATTTTTGTACTTAACTCCTCAATAAATAGCAATTACTAGACAAAGCATTCACACGTGTGTGTGTGTGTGTGTGTGTGTGTGTGTGTGTGTGTGGTGTGTATATGTATATAATGCAGAAATCACTAATAAAAAAATTGCTGTATTGGTTCCTTGAGATATTTTCCTTTGTTTTAGGAGGACTTGATCAGAAAGATATGCAAATACATATTAAGGTGAAGTCCATAAAATATAATAAATATGCATACAAGCATTATTACACTTAGTTAATGGCCTGAAATTTTTTTAATGACATACAGAAAGAAATTCAGAATGATGAAGAGTCCCAGACCAGTTCTGGTTGGACTAAATACAGCAATCAAGAAAAAAGCAAAGATTTTAAGGACACTGGATTTCTTGAAATGAAAGCTGTTGGAGAAGGAAAGTATAGAATCCAGGTAAAGTTTTATGAGTTAAACATTCTCTGATTTTTCTTAAAGAATTGTAAAAGAGAGCCCATTCTTGGTAAGCTATTATAAACCTTGAGATCTGAAAACTAGCATATCAATTAAGGTTTTTAGGCCATTAATTGAGCATATTGGGAAGTTTTTGTAAGTTTATGATTGAGGGCTCTTTGAAATAATACATATGTGCCTAGAGAATTGTTGAGTTCCTCAAATATGGTATGTTCTCAACACATGCTAATTACTTAAAACTTCTATATGCTGCATGTGGCATGACCTTATAGGACTTTTTCTCATCTGTGAGCACTCTCTTCATAAGCCATCTAAAGTTAACATGTAACAGTTTAAAACAAATTAATTTGTATTAACATGGAGAACAACTACAACAAAAAAATAACTAGTACAACTGCAGCTGTTGTCCCATGTTTCACAGACACTAGTGTTAGACAATAACAAAAACGCCTCATTGGTTCTACTGAAGAAAAGCTAATGTTCATTTAATACTGTGTGTAATAAGTCTGTTTTGTTAGTTTATCAGATCAGTCATTCAGTAACTATTGTTTAAATGGAAACATTTTTATGTGTAATTAGAAACTCATTGTGTTCATGCTAGGGACAATTTACAAGTTTTTTTGTTATTTTAATTTGGAGTTTCTTAAATCACATGGTATGTTTAACTGAAGATTAAGATACTTTAGCCTTCTTGCTCCTACTCCTGAATATAGTGGTATCTGTGTGTCTTTTAAGATTTCCTTCTATAATCATGTGTAATGTTTACTAAGGCTTTTTGAATTAATGTCTCTAAAATATTCATTCTAAATTCAGTATGAAGAGTTTTACATACAGAAAGGAATGTTACATGCAGCAAGTATTGTAAAATGAAGAGATTATCAATATACATTTCATTTTATTAAATATATAAAAATAGCTAAATTTTGCAAAAATGAGGAAATTTTCTAAATAAATTTATGAAGTTTTACATAAAATTGACAGAATTTTCTCTTGTCACAAAGAAATGAGATTATAATACTTCATACTCTAAAATAAGCAGGTTATGTAAGTATATCTATTAACTTACTGTTTATAAAATGTGGCAAACAAACTAAAGCATGTTTTCAAACCCTTTTGATATAACTAGAATGTATTAAAATTCACTTTACATTTTAAATTTACTCTCATGTGTACTGTATGAAACCTGCCTTCCTGAAATTTTCTGTGTGACTTGCATTAGTTGTATTGAGCCTATATTAACCCAGAGTATAATTAATTTTATAAACACACAGAACAAAATGGAAAATCATGATGAAAATGTTAATGATAGATTTGTTCTGAACGAGCATCACAAAAAAGAAAAATTCAGAGACTACAGAAAAGATATGAAATCTGCTAAAAAGAGAAATACATTTAGAAGGCATGCACATGACAATCAGGTAAGTTTTTACAAAAATATTCCTTTTATGTTAAAAATTCTTTCTAAATTTACTAAATACAATGTGAGTCATGAAATTTCTTAGGAAGTACTTTACAGAAGTGTTATAAGACATTTATGCAGTGTTTTTAAATGAAGAAGAATGCCACTTTATTAACTCCTTAGCCAGGGAAAGAATCAATCTTCCCCAATTTTTTAGCCACCTCTGTGTCATTTTCTAACTGTATCTTTTCCATTTTACCTGGAAAGATCCTTTATTTTTAGAACTTACGTTATTTTTCCTGTATTTTTTTTTATTTGTTTGTTTTAAAATTGTATTTAGTTTTGCTTGTTAATGATCAATTCTTGGTCACACTGTTTATGGGTATTTTCCTTACCTGTATGCTTTGGTGTTTGATTGTGTTGCAGGTTTAAACTTCATCCATGTTTTTTGTTGTTGATAAGCATTTGATTTTCTTTTTGTTTCTTTGTATTTGATTGGTTGTTTTGAGATTATCTAACAGTTCTTGCATGAAGAATTAATATTCTCTTGTGGGACTCTAGGTACACATGTTAAGGGATTTCTCTAGCTGAGAATGTATTCCTAGGAATGAACTTATTGTCATCAGAACAATGTGTCACCTGTTGTTCATGATGCTCTTCTTTTTTCCCAAATGTTTTTTTTTTTTTTTTTTTTTTTTTTTTTTGCTAACGTATACACACTTGCCTGTGGGAGAGCTTTTCCTGTGCATAGTGCTCTATAAATCAATATGTTATGTTTATGTTGTGAGCCCCCCCCCTTGGCTTATTTGGATTTTGTAGCATTTAATGTATATTCTGATTTGTTTGTTATCAAAATACAGAAAGAAACTAAGAAAAAAGTTAAGAATGTCCGAAGGAGTTACATTTTGAGGAAAAAGAACAGTAAAGAAGGTTATTACAAAACTAATGATGAGTATGACACAATTAAAAGTACTTTAAAAAGGCATGTGCATTACAGAGATCAGGTGAGACTGTAGGATGTATGTTTCTAAGTTTTCTTTTTTATAATCCAGACAGGCGAAGTGCTTATTAAACATGCTTGCTATATTAAATTCTATATTCTTTTGAAAAACTCTTGATTTGATATATTTTATCAAATTTTATATTTTATATTATTTTTATTTTACATGTATTATTTTACTTTTATATATTATTTTATTTACATATTATATACAGTTCTTATACTGTATATATTATAATATAATTAACTGTGGTTTATAGTAAAACTATATGAATATAAATAAGGAAATTTGGGCTAATTGTGATTCTTAAGTTGTTCATAAAGGAAAAAAAAATATCTGGAAGAGAGGTAAATTTCTCTTTTAACATTTTTAAAAAGTTTTGAAATTATATTATAAATTCAAAATGTTTTCTTTTCTTCCCTATGTACCCCTATTCTTTTTCAAATCCATGACCTGTTTTTTTTTTTTTGCTATTATTCAAATTGTACCAATATATGTATTTGCAGTACATATATATCCCTAGCTATAACCTGTTCAGTCATGTAATGTTACTTATTGCATATATGGACAACCCATAGGTATGCTTTCGGCTGGGGAAGAACTCCTCTTCCACTGCCACCTTTCCTCAGTTGCCTAAAGTTCTTTCTGTGGGATTGAGGCTTGATCTTTTCCCCTATCTAATTTGGCATGTTGGATCGGTGTTTTCCTTGTTCAGCTCATGTTTAGATAGTCAAGTTGGTGAAACTTTATGGGTATAGCTTCTGATATTACTGGGAGATGCAGCCTCATATAAACTCTCAAATTCCTCTTACTATTAAAAATTTTCTGGCTCCTCTTCCTCCCAAGTCCCCTGAGTCTTAGGTGCATATATTATAGGTGTATCCATTGGGACTGGGCTCTACAACTCTGAATACTGATGACATGTGGGTTTCTATAGTGGTCCCTATCTATTGCAAAGAGAAGTTTCCTTGATGTGTTGGTATAAGAACAAATATAGATTGCTGTTGGGATTATACTGACTTAGTAAATTAGAAGTATAGATTCTTCTCTAATAACCCTGACTTCATTAGCACTGGGTAGGTTTCCAGTATCATGCACAATTTCCTCTTGTTGAGTAGGTCTTAAGTTCAAATAGGAAGGTGTTGGTTTCTGCCATGGTATGTATGCCGTTACTGCCATCTGTTGATATGGTTCATGGGCTTCATGGCTGGATAGGACTGTTGGGTGCCTCCCTCCTTTTGAAACTTGCAAGAATTTCTGAAGTGTATGGTGTCTTCAGCAATAGAGACTTATCATCCATACACCTCTTGCAGAGTGCAGGTAACAACAGCAATAGGAATAGGCTGTGTGTTTTGGGAGTACCCTGCATAACCCTGGCCAACAGCTCAGAAGAGGGCTTGTCATGTCTGATATTGGGGGTTTTGTTTAGGTGCTTGTTGACTCTTGGTGGGAACACCCTTTTGGAAGAATTTTTTTTAAAGTTGAAAACTCTACTGTAACCTCCATCTGTATGTAGTTTGTAAAATCTCTTCAGATTCGAATATTGTTTCTAATTTTGTTCTTTGGTAATTTTTATAATAAAATTCAATTTTCAAATGGAATTTCCTTAGATAAGTTTTTCTAAATTGTAACTTTATATTATTTCCTAGTCAGAGTATGTGTATATAGATGGAACATTCTAAATTAAAACCTCAAAAACCTGAAATACTTGAGAACACGTGTCTCTCAGTGATACATGATGTTGAAAACTTCTGATGTAACGTAGAAAGTCTATTCCTCGCCTCATGTTATATATAGGCCAAGCAGAACAGGCTAGGTACACTTAAGTTGTGTATAAAATTATTTTCAGTTCATGTATATAAGAAGTATAAAGAATGTCAATTAATTTTGAGTTTAGACTTGGGTTTTATGATAGCTTCAGATGAAAACTTTTTAAGGTGCTGAAGATGTAGCTCAGTGGTCCAGCATTTGCCTGGTGTGCATCACTATGTGGCTTTAAAAACAATGAAATAACAAATGTAAATAGCAAGAAAAACGTTGCAAAATATAGATGGGTTTTCTATAGTGTTGTATTTTTATGTGTTGAATACTTTCTTCAGTACAGTATCTAAAGTTTTTTACATGTATGCAGAAAGAAATGAAGAATTCTCTTCTTACTGATTATGCCATTGAATCAAAAAACAAGGATGTCAAGACAAATGTGGGTCTCACGGAAATAAAAAATGCCTTAAAGAAACAGATATACAGAGATGTGTATAGAGCTCAGGTAATGCTTATCACACTAAAACTCTTTCTGAAGGAAGATAGGAGTTACTGGGAAATGTGTGTGAATTATGGGTTGTTTTAATCCAGACACTTGATGGTCTTTAGAAAATGCTTTGTTAGTTGGTGCTTGGAGTCTGATACTTCAGGCTAGCTTGCTAACTACAGCTTTGCATCTCTAAGCTTAAGAAAGAGCTTTAAGAACGGGTGATTTACATTTTTCTTGCTACTTTTATTTCTAGAGTAGAAGAATTTATAACTCTTTTTAGTAACAAAATTCAATGTATTTTATAGCTGCACTAGCAGTTATTGTATCACTTTGCTAATCTTTTGTTCTGTTTTCCATTGACTTGCTTTATGAGTGTCTTTATTGAACTTTCTTGAATTGGGATGTTATTTATCATTTACATTTCATTGCAGATATTTTTCATTATAATATTTTCTAAAAATTTACAAGTGCAGGTCTTTTAAAACAATACAAGAAGTTTTTGTATGTGATTATTGGGAATACTTTACTCACTTTTTTTCCTCCCCATTGGACTGGTATATAAAATGTCCTCTGCATTTTTATCTTTAATTATTAAAGTACTAAGAACAATAGACAACTTCAGATCTCTAAAGTGAAAATGACCTGAAGTTATTTTAATTGAGGAGAAAACAATAGAACTGGTCTATTCATGAGAATGCTATTACCCTAAAATGATGATAGTTACTAATTTGAGCCAAAATGAGTATCAGATTAATTATAGCTATTAATGTGTTCCTGAATCTGTTTTGAATGTTTGGCCAAGGTTTTGTGCTTTGTAAGCTGAAATATATTTTTCAACTTAAACTGTTAAATTTAATTATATGGTTGTTGTTTTGTAGGCTGTACGATACAACTGCATTAGAATAGATAAACAGCCTGTATACAATGTAGAGGTAAGGGGCTTGGAGTTGGATGATGATTTGGACCAAAAAAGAAGTGTAAGTTTTAGTTATTTTGATTTAAGGTAATGTATTACTTATAACCAGAAATGGGGTGGGGAAGCATTATTCTGTTGCAAGAAAGTTTCAACACAGCTGTCAATAGTGCTGTGAAGTATATACTTTTTTCATATTTCAGTAATTTCATTTTCAAATTGTGTTAAATTCTTGATCCAATACTTCCAACATATTTTATTTATCACCATTCATTGTTTTTAAATGGATACTTCCATATGGTCTTTAGGATGGTTCCAGTTAAAGGTGACATCATCTGGTTTATACAGCAAAGATTTCCTGTTTAAGACTTTGTTTCGGGGGATTAGTTTATCTTACCACTTCAGGAAATGAAAAATAAGAAACAGCTAGTAACACTTTGGAGTGCCTTCTAGTTTTTTGTTGTTTGGTTTTTTGAGAGCCTTCTAGTTAGAAAACTCAGCAGTGCATATGACTTGCTTGGGACCAGAAAAGTTTAAGTCGTACAATCTGTCAAGTAGTAAGGACAAGAATCACCTACATATAGATGAGGAAACAGACGCTCTTTATTCATTCAAGATCTCGGAGTTAAACTTTTCTTCTTTCAGACATAAAATTATTTTTCCTTAGGTTAAAAATGCGGAGCTCCCTAGAGGGATATTAAACTTAATTGAAAGCCTCATAGAGGGACAGTTCTTTAAAGAAGCCATTGAAGAGCTTTGCTCTTTGCAAGCCCATTACATCCCTCCTGTGTGCCTTCTCCACTCCCTTCTAGAGAATGTCCTGCAGGTAAGGGTGCCGTGTGCACTTAGAATCTTGTTTTACTAGAATGATAAATCGTGAACATTGTAGTTTTTCTTTAAATCTCATCTCACTAGGAAGGGCAGTATCCATTTGTTACCACATTTTCTATTTTATCAATATTTACTTACTACTCTGAATGACTTAGCCTATTAAAAAATGAAGAACAACAATAATAGTTTGTATTAAAAAATATTGTTCAATAAAAAAAGAGGAAAATGTTACCAGGTTTTTTGGGGTTTTTGTTTGTTTGGTTGGTTGGTTGGTTTTGTTTTCTGTGACTGTAAAGTGATATTAATGTCAGATTATGGCATCAGATTGCTAAAATGCTTTTAGTAATAGTCACTTTTAGTAATAGTCATTTTATTTGTGATATACAGGTTAAGTGAATGTAGTTTGTAGAAACAGTTACTAATATCTATGGAGAAATGGCTTTCTATCATGCTGTGGTAATGTTGAATACACATAAGACAGTTACTTAAAGAGTTTCCACGTTGGCTTCCTTTAGAATGTCCCTTGAGATTCTTGATCTTGCTATTATCCTTATAAAAATTTCACATATGCTATACCTAATACTTAACATTTTCTGCTATATAGATCCGAATGATAACTCTACCTTGTTATTTCAAACTGAATAATTGTCTACTCATGGTAGGCTAGAATTACTACTCTAGTTTGAAACTAAATTAAGTGATGCAACTGTTAGCTACAGTCTTTTATTTTGTTTATTTTTAAACAATAGGATAACATAGATACATTTTCTGGTCGATACTTTCATGTATTATCAGCTCTTCTTCATCTGCATCCTCCTTGGAAATCACCAGCCATGTTAAGATACTACTTAGAGTTATTTCAGTGTCCAACCTGTAGGAAAGGAGCCTGGTCTCTGGTAGAAGTGCTTGTCAGGTAAGTTATTTCACATTGGAAGACATTTTACTGTTTTCTAGACACTGATTTTAAAAAGTATATTTGTATTTTTAGAAAAAAATGTGGATACTTGTGTTTTGTGTTATTTTGCAAAACTTATAAAAAGAACAAATTTTGTATTGGTCATGTTTGTCTGTATTTTAAAAAACTATATATACAAAACAAAATACCAAATTTTATATTTTTTTCCAAAATTATAAATTTGTATATTTTTGAAAGAAAAATTTTTGAATATAAGCATCAAATTTGTTACAAAAAGCATAATATATTTGTCCATATAATATTAGAAATTTGAAATTTTTAACCAGTACTTATTGTTCCTAGATATGTCATTAATCGACATATGTTATCTGAGTAGGCCTTCTTTGTTTTCAGTCTCCAGAACTTCCTGTTTTCTCTCCTCTAGCTAAAGTAATTATCATTGTTTAGTAATAGTCACTTTTAGTAAACACACTTCAGGGCTGGAGAGAACTTGGGGGTTCCGACACTTTTTGCTCTTGTTGAGAACCAGGTTCTATTCCCAGTAGCCACACCGTGAATCACAACCCTCTATACTTCAGTTCCAGGGGATCCAGTGCCATTACCTGCTTCTGACCTCTTCAGGCACCAGATACACATGACATACAGGCATACATGCAGTCAGAAACATCTACACATAAAAAATTTAACATACTTGTTTATTTAACGTATGTGTGTGTGTGTGTGCATGTGTGTATGTGTGCACACATGTGAATGTGTACATCTGTCCACTATAGAAATGTGCTAACAAACACTTTCCTCATATGCACAAGCCAGATTCAGCAGTTATTGTTTTTAGTTCTGTGGTTATGACAAAATACAAATAAAATACTCAGTTTTGAAAACTATAACTTATTAGTGGATATGAATATGATCATGGATATGAAGTATGCTGTCATTTGTTTTGTAAACTAAGGCCATAGTGATGTGTTTGTTCTTATCGGTGAAATGAAGTGCACAAAGAGAGTACTGATAGTTGCCAGATATTATATTGAGGCCAGAGAAACTAGATTTGTGTTAAGAACTAAATATTAACTAAGTGGTAGTGGCTCATGCCCTTAATCCCAGCACTCGGGAGGCAGAAGCAAGTGGATCTCTTGAGTTCAAGGCTAGCCTGGTCTGCAGAGGGTTACCCTAGGACAGTCAGGGTGAAACAGAGAAACCCTGCCTTGAAAAACAATAAAACAAAACAACAACAACAAAAAAGAACAATGCAAGCTTTTGTATTTGATGTTATTGAAATTTAAAGGAAGAAAATGTTAAGAATATTTTATTGAGCTTGCCTTAAATTTTATATAGGTTTTGTTAAAATTATAAGGTCTTTAAAAAGAAACATTTTGTCCACAATTTATTCAGTAACTTTATTTTTATGAAATACATTGTTGCTTTCATATTTTTCAGATCTTGCCTTTTCAACGAAAGTTTCTGTCATCAAATACCAGAAAATATTGGTTCAAAGGTAGTCCATTTTACATTGCTCAAGCTTTTCTTTAATTTATTTGAAAGTGAAGTACGGCATTTGATTCAAAAGTAAGTGTTAATCACAAGAAATACTTTGCTATAGTTCTGTTCTAAACTTATATTTATAATATATCTGTCTTTAAGAAGTTTCCTAATGTATTTTTGTGTAGGCTTTGTTTCGGTTTTCAGATAAAAACCTGTGGCAGTGACAGTGTGCTTACATCCCTTTTCTTCCTCATTTCTTTTTATTTGGAAGAATATGTGTTTCAGGAATATATATATATATACTATATATATATATATATTCCTGTTCCTAAGTTCCCTGTATACTGGTTTTTACTGAACTGGGACCATTTTTTCTATGCACATTCATGTATACATATCAATGCACATGTGTGCATGTATATAGACACCAAAGATTCCACCTAAGAGTAATTCCTAAGGAATATTATCCATGTTGTTTTTTGAGACAGTTATCTTTCATTGTCCTGTAGATCACAGAGTAGTGATCAGTGAGCCCTAAAGGCCTGCTTGACTCTCCTTTCCAGTACTTACTGTGACTCCCAAGTGCCCTCCCCAATGCTTGCTTAGTGTGTCATACCCAGCCCATATGGCTATATTTAATGTTTTGTCCTTTATTATAGCTGTGTTGTATTGTAATCTTTATATGTTATTACCTTTCTCAAAAATTGTTAGCATTCTTGTCCTATCAGAATTGGTTTAATAATTGCCATGATTAATTGTCATGGTAATTGACTTTTTGTTATATGTTCATTAGGTTGTGTGACTGGTCGGGTTCCCAGAATCTGAAAGGAACAGAAAAGGCAATTCTTCTTGAAATCTTTTGGTCAGGAAGTGAAACTTCAGGACTTCTGACAAAACCAGTAAATATGCTTTTGGAGTGGACTATATATTCTCACAAGGAAAAATGCAAATCTAATGATGTAAGTCAGATTACTTTACAAAAGAATATGATCTATGGAAAAGCAAAGTTAGCTCTCCTTATCTGTAGGTTTCACAAATATGAATTTACCCAATGCATATAGAAATATTCAGAAAAAGTTTCACCTCTGCTGAACATATCCAGACTGTCTTATCATTATTACTTCAACAGTATGGTATAACAATAATGTACATCACTTCTAGATTGTATTAGTTGTAGGTCTATAGATGATTTGAAGCATGTGGGAGGATCTGAAGTATATGCAGGTATCATATGTAAGAGTATTGATCTTATGTAAGAGTATTGATCATCCATAGATAGATTTTGGCATCTTTACATTTTGAAATCCTGGGAGCAGATAATATGAAATTATTAGTTTTTGAAGTAGACGATTTTTCATCTTCCTTTTATAGTTTGAACTCCTTGAAAAAATGTGAACCCAATTATGTTTCTATTTGCTATGTAGTTTGTCTACTTGTATGGTAACAGTCCTTAGAGGACAGGGTCTTCATCGCTCATTTAGACAACATTTCTAGGAATTGTGAAGTCTGTAGTTTCCATTCTAAATGCCTTATTTTTAAGCATTCCATTTTTTTATGGAAATTATGGTTTCAAAAAATTAGTTTATGCAGTTTTGGAGAGTCCCACAATAAAAAGTTCTGCCTCTGTTTAAAACTTACTAGATATTGATAATTTAATGAAGCATTTCTTCATGAGTAGATTTTTACCTGCATTGAAATTCATAACATGTTGCTTAGCTTATACATTGATTGATTGATTGATTGATTGATTGATTGATTGATTGATTGATTTTCAGAGTATCCTGAAAAATTGAATATAATAAAACAGTAAGCTGTTTCTCAAGATAAGTATAAATGAATATATCACCTAGATTAATGATACACTGTCCAACCACTTTTAGTTGAACTATATCATTAAAAAATTTTTTTAAGTAGGGATAAACTTGAAAGCACATTGCAACAGAAAATACACAGTAAAGTTCATATTCATAACACAAATATGTCCTTTTTAATGAATAAAACTATAAATCAAGTAAGTAATGAAAATCGATTATTAAATGGCAACTTGTGGGCTTTAAATGTTGAATCTATTCATTATAAATTATGAAAATTTAAAAATACATGACATTTATTCTTAACATTTACACTATCCTAACTATTCTTGGAAACACTGTTATACATATTCTCAAATTTATTCCTTATATTCTATGAAGTAGAACTATTGTTCTTTTTATATTGTGAATAGGAATACTAAACCACAAAAGCTAAATAAAATTTTCAATTTTGTAAAAACATTGCATTTCTCTATTGTCAAAATCCAGGCACAAGTCATCTTGCCCACACTGTTTTCCTCACTGAACTGAACTATTATCCCTCTCTCTCTCTGCCTCTAAAACACACAAGTCATTTATTGTGTTGTATTGGTTAGAATGTATAGGAAAAGGTTTTTGGTCTCGTATATAAGAAGGAAGTTTTGAATATGTTTAAAATAGAGTACTTACATATTCTGTCAGTAGTTGTACAGATGGATGTATAGTAATGTGTTGCAGATATGTATCTAGTGATATGAAGGCAGGGGGAGCATGCTTCTGTAAGTCTTAGTTAACTATGAAGTGACATCCTCCTTTAGTATGCTGCATAACTATAGCAAGATAAATTCCATCTAGATAATCTCACAACGAGTGATATTGTTATCTAAAATAGGTAGAGGAAGAAAATTGCAGACTATTTTGTGTACTAAAATTGTATGATACCATAAAGAAAAAAAACTGGTAATATTTTGAGGCATTGTAGTAAATATTAGCTGCCTTTCAAAATAGTCTGCCTTTGGTATTTATTGCCTAATTTTCTTTTATTATGTCATTAGTTCTACATATTTTAATTACTTCTTTTATTCTCTAATCTATCTTCTCTACTGTTTGGATCTTCTTCTTTTTGGTTTTTGATTTTAATAGTAAGTTACAGTGCAATGGTTTGTTTTTCTGCTTTCTGTAATTTACTGAGCATTTTGTTCTGGTCATGAAGGAAATAGGTTGCGAGAATGTGTTTTTGATATAGTTTATGGTATTCTCTGTCATCTGCTAAATCAAGCTTAATCTACCTTGTAAGTTTTCTTCTTTTTTTAATGCTATCCTATTATATTGATGTGCCATCCTGATATTTATGATGCCATCACTAACAGTTCAGCAGTAGTTAAGGAAGAAAGCCTGGTGGCAAACAAACATGGAGCCAATTCTTTTTTAAAGAATGAGATGTCATGTAGTATCCAGTTTCTCTTAACTATCTCCTGAGATCTATTATTGTTGTTTATTAACCTTACAGTACTTCTTGTCATACATTTTTATGGGGATGGGATGCTGCAGAACTTTACTTTTCAAATTATTAATACAGTGTTTATCAACTTTTTAGTTTACTATTCTCTTCAGCTGTGTCTACTTTGTTGCTAAACATTTTGACTGTATTTTTAAGTTTTGTACTTCCCAGTTGAAGGTCTTTTATATTTCCTGCTGTGATTTTTTTTAATAGTTTCTAATACAGAACACAAGTTTCACTTTTTTCCTTTGAACATTAATAATAACAATAATATTATGATCTGTTCCAGTTCTGCTTATTTCATGTGTGAGGTCCTTTTGGATCTTCCTGCATTATTATTTCCCTGGTCTCTTATGTATATGTTTTTCCCTCTATGTCTTTTATTTCCTTTCCTATGACCTGTTTTAATTTCCATTTGAATAGGTATTTGTAGAAACAGTTTATCAAACACCAAAATACCTTGCTTACAGAGCAAGTATACTTTACTTCTGCAAAGGGCCTGGGTATTCTATCACTGAGGACCGACCTGAAGCCAGTGTTCATGTCTGAGGGACTCTGCATAGCCCAAATGAAACATTTGCATATTTGTAGTGCTCTTACTCATTCTCATTCTCAGTGAACCGTCTAGGTCTTGCCTATGGTGAATAAGCATTTGGCTATGACCTCTTTTTTACCAGTTTTCCTTCCTTACAGAAACCACAGTTCTTTGTCTTGCTATACTTCTCAGTTAGAATCACCAAACTTGTTTGGACTAAGTTAGGTAGTTTTTAAGTCTTCCTTGGTTTTTACCAAACTTTTGGGTATCTTAACATAACATTTCTCATAACTTACTGTTTATTTCAAAGATGTTTTGTGTATTTCTACTGACATTTTTAATTTTCAGAAACTGTTCATCAAAATTCTCAAGGCTTCTTTTAATACAAACACTGACTTTTAGACAAAGCCAAGCTTTATGCCATATATCTGAATTGTACTTAGGGAACAGAAACAGGAAGGCCAATAGTTCTAGTTCTCCTCAACTCTGTTACACGTCAGCCTGGGCTACATAACACCCTGTGTTGTGTTAGATTCCATAGGGAGATATGGAACAAATATTTGCTTAGCCCAGATGGACACCAGTTACAATTAAAGTAACTCTTTCACACAAGTCTATGTTGACTAACCAGTGAGTTTCGTTGTGGTTATAAAAAGGATCATGAGGAGGAGCAGAGGAAGCTTACCCATTACTATAACATGGAAGAAAAGCTTCCCCCACCCATCACTCACACAACTATTACCAGTGTATAAATTCAAGGAGGAACAGGGATCCAGGCCTCTGGTATACTGCCTTTGGAACCATTCCTTCTCTCTGTAAGATAGTGGTAATGCATGCAATCATGTGAGAGTCTTGTGCAGGTAATCATAGCTGCTCTGATTCAAGATGGCAGAGCTCTGAGGACAGAGTTCACAATACCCTGTCTAAAACAATCATGAAAAGTAAAATTGCTCCTAGGTATAGCTACACTTCTTGGTCACCCAGTAATCCTATTGTGTGAGTGTAGCTATTTTTTAATAAATTACATTTTATTAATATTGTGTACATATGCCACAGCATTATATAGGCCAGAGGACAATTTGTAGAAGTTTGTTTTCTCTTCCACATTTGTAGATAACTGGAAACAAACTCAGATTTTTAGGCTTGGTGGCAAGTGCCTTTACCCACTAAGCCATCCTGCTGGCCCCAAGTATCTGATTTTAATGAAAATATAACCATGCAAATGCATAGAAATTTAAGATATTCAACCAAGTAAGAGTTGTCTGTATCCTACTGACAATTCAGTGCAGTGTATGTAATCTTAAGCTTATCGTTACAAATTACTGTTTTTCTTTTTATTCATTATAATCACTTAGGATAAAAAATATCCCTAGTAGAACTCTTTTTATTTGTTTGATTATATATGTGACATTACTCATCTAAAGCTGGAAACAATAAAACTAATGTTTTCACAATTTTACCAAGCACCAGTCAACTACAGAAAAAAAAAAGAAAATATTCAAGAAACATATAAGTAAATAGAAACAGATTTATACATATTTAAGTCAACGGTTTTTCTTCAAATTTATAAATAAAAGCAACATATTTGAGAAGCAGTCTGTAGCAAATTGTAGCATCAGTTCTAATATGAAAACTGGTTTTAAATTTTGCAAATTAGTATTATATTGTAACATTTAAATTACTTTTTTATTGTGATATCTTGCTGTAAGAAATCATTCTTAAACATAATTAAATCTTTTTGGTACTTTCCATTTTCAGAGATTCCATACATGTCCACAGACATCATTTTCTGGACTGTAGAGCATTTGTTTCTTCTGATTTGCTGAGTTGAAGCATTCAGTTTAAGTCATTAGCTAAACAGAAGTTCTCAGTTTATGCTAATATTGTTTTGTCATGATGTCAATCAGCAAGTATTGCCGAGTGACAGAGTGGCAGTGAATTTCATTGTCATTAATCTGAAAACGTTTTGGGCTTTCCTTGGCAAAGAGCAGAGGTTATAGAGTCAAGGTTATAGAGGAGATGCACATTTTCTTGCATTTTGGTCGTTAGTCCCACTTGTCTTTGCAATGTCCTCAGGTAGAAATGGATGCCGGTTTATATTAAACAATAACTAAATTGAAGTTAAGAGTTTAA